AATTTCGAATTTTCAAATTTCAGTGAATACCTCCTCGATTTTTATGCTCCTCTGATACTTTTTTGAAAATATTAAATTTTTCAATTTCAGTGAATGCCTCCTCGATTTCCATGCCCCCCTGATACTTTTTTGAAAATTTTGAATTTTCAACTTTCAGTGAATACCTCCTCGATTTTCATGACGGGACGACACCCCCATTGCGTGTGGCGCCCTCCCTCTCTTGGGGTGCAGTACTACGATGCCGCTGGGGTCACTTGAATCCCCAGAACTGAGCCTCTACTTTAGTCAATCCTCTTTGGTTAGATATATGGAAAACGAGCAAATGTTTTGCTGACGATTTGGTACGGATGGTCTTGGTGGAGTGGATATGTATAAAGTTTGAAAATATCGAAGGGATATAATGGGGAGAGATTCCAGAAGAACAGAGGAGAGAAGACCTCGGTCTCGGGAGCGCAATCGTCGCCACGAGGGAAAGACTGCTCACAAGGATAGGGATAAGGAGCGAAATTACACTCCTGTGAGGTCTAAAAGTGAGTATAAAGGGTCTAGGAAGAGAGATGAGCCGAGGAAGAAGTCCAGGCAGGGGTCTTCAGGATCTAGGGATAGAGCCAAGTCTTCTAAACGGAAGAGTCGGAGGAGGTGAGTCTCAGCAAATTGCCTTGCATTCGGGAAGATCCACGAAGGAAAAAAAATGGCCTTTATGTTTTTGATGTTATCTTTTTTTTTGCCTTGCAGATCCTCATCAAGTTCATCCTCGTCGTCCACCTCTTCCAACTCATCTGCAGATTCGACGAAACTCCTGAAAAAGCTAGAGAAACAGCGGTTAAAGCAGTTGGAGGAACGAAAACGTCAGAAAGAATTGGAGAAGGCGACAGAGCCTCCCGAGGAGAAGAGGCTTCGTCGTCTGAAGAAGAAAGAGGCAAAAGAGCGCAAGCGAAAGGAGAGAATGGGCTGGGACAACGATTACCTCCACTACACGAACACAGACAATCCCTTCGGCGATGGTAATCTCCTTTCTACTTTCGTGTGGTCTAAAAAATTGGAGAAAGAGGGCCTCTTGGGGGTGAGTCACGAGACCCTGGAGCAGAGGAATCGCCATAAGCAAGAGGAGAATAAGCGAGAGCTCGAGAAGGTGAAGAAACGTCGACAGGAACGAGAGTTGGAGAGGCAACAGAGGGAGGAGGAGATGGCATTACTTCAGAGGGGAAAAGAGGCAGCACAATTGGAGCAATGGGCCAAACAAGAAGATCAGTTTCACCTGGAGCAGGCCAGACTCAGGTCTCGTATTAGAATTCAGGATGGAAGGGCTAAACCTATTGATCTTCTTGCTAAATATATCAGCGCCGAGGAGGAGGTCGATGCTGTTGAGATGCACGAACCCTATACTTATCTCCGAGGGCTCCAAGTGAAAGACCTTGAGGATCTCATTGAAGACATAAAGGTTTACAAGGAGCTTGAAAGGGGTGGCAATCTCGATTACTGGAATGATATCACTGTCATCGTCGAGGACGAGCTCTATAAACTGAAGAAACTCGAACGATCAGAATACGAAGTCGCTGTTAAGCGGAGGGAAGGGATTCATGAATCGGTAGTTAAGGATGTGGCTGCCACGTTCAAAGGCAAAACTGTAGCTCAATTGGAAGGTATCCAATTGAGAATCGAAGAGAAAATATCAGGTAAACCCGAGGGAGTTGACATAGGCTACTGGGAGAGTCTCCTCTCACAACTGAAGGCGCACATGGCACGAGCTCGTCTACGAGATCGTCACCAGGAGAATCTGCGAAAAAAATTGGAGGTGCTGATGGCAGAGCAGGGGGTGGCAAGGGCAGAGAGTGAGATCAATGATTCTGAGGGAAAAAGTGAAACATCGAAGGCCGAAAATCCCCAGGAAACCCACGGAAGTGATGCAGCAGAGGCAACAGAGACAGAGGCCCCGGATGAAAAGGAGAAAACAGATGATGAAGGGTCTGATGATGAGGCAACATCCACCCCAGCTGAAGATATTCTCTCAGAGTCCATTGGAGAGTATGAGTCCGGTGGATATTCCCCTAGATATATGTCCACATCTCAGTTGGAGCCAGGGACAATCGTTACTCTGGAGGAGGAGGACAGCCAGAGGCTGGAGTACGCCAGGGCTCAGGTATTTGCCACTGGGAATAAAGTGCAGAATGTTATGACTGCTGAGGAGCAAGCACTGCAGGCAGAGGCGAGGAAAAATATGGGTTCAGATGAAGCGCAATTCAGTGTCGAAACATCGTTAGAGGCCCAAATTTATCTGTGGTCTGATAAATACAGGCCAAGAAAGCCCAGGTACTTTAATCGAGTGCACACTGGATTTGAGTGGAATAAGTACAATCAGACGCATTATGATATGGACAATCCTCCACCTAAGATCGTTCAGGGATACAAGTTCAATATATTTTATCCTGACTTAATCGATAAGAGCACGACTCCTGAATATTATCTGACGCCTTGCAGTGATAACAAAGACTTTGCTATCTTGCGATTTCATGCAGGGCCACCCTACGAGGACATTGCCTTCAAAATCGTCAGCAGAGAGTGGGAATACTCGTATAAACGTGGGTTCAGGTGTCAATTCCATAATAATATATTTCAATTGTGGTTCCATTTCAAGAGGTACAGATACAGGAGATAAGTTCGACTGATCATTCAGAATTACTTCTACAAGTGTCAATGGATTTTCAACATAGAAATGTAAATAATTATAATTTTTACTGATGGACAATGAAATCCAACGTGAAATTCCTGTTCTGCACTTGAATAGACATCTCGATTTTATTTCATGGCAAAAATCAATTGATATCCGTCTTGTTTTTGATTTTTTGTACTCTTACAAATGAATGAGACGTTTATTTCACAATGATATATTTCATTTATCTCCAATTTTTGCTGTGAGAATGTAAATATTATTCAATAAATTATATGATTTTAATTTATACAGTTTCCTTTCATTGCTAGAAAAATGGATTCATTCTTTTCTTTGGAATCAATAAATTTTTCCATTTAGTATGAAAGCCGAGACACGTTTGTGGGGGAATTTTTTCCCTTTATCATTACGTGTTTGCGATTGCCTAGTGCCTTCTAACACATAAAACCAGATAAAAACATGTAATTCTCACTCAGCCAAAGCCAACAATGAGTGAATAGGGGCGATTGTTTCGTGGTAACATGTTGGATCGATTTTTTTACCACCACTGGCCACCTGTGCGGTATCACCGGCTAAAAATCGACCACGACGAGGGAAAAACAGAGAGAGAAATATCGAGCCAATGGCAAGGTAAACTACTTGCCCCAGCAGTAGTTTCTCGCGCTCCGCGCCCCTAAAGAGTCGTAATAAAGCGTTACTCCTTGTGCAATAATTCACCCTGAGTTATCACATGTACCACCTAAAAATGCAAGCAACCCCCAACTCTAAAAACAGAGGAATTCCCTCGGAAATTGTCTGAAGCATTTTCCATCAGTCCCTTTTAATCACTCGATTGTTTATATCCATCGAAGGAAAAATAAATGAGACTCAATTTAAATGTCAACACGAAGTGACATCGAGTGCTAAAGTTTTGTGATTAATTAATCGATTCGAGTGACTGGCATTAGCCGGACTTGGAGTTGCCACTGCGATTTCACGGGCTAATCTAAATTATGTTTGAAAAAAAAATCACCAAAATATCCATGGCTCGCAGAAATTCAAGGCCTCCACGATAATGAATTGGATTTTTACGTCAATCACTTTAAAATTACCCTAAAACCTAAAAAACATCGACGTATTTATCAGTTCTTGAGGGATTCATCCTCAAGGTGGAGGTGACGAGTAATATCGCGATGAAGTGGAAGAGAACACCAATGGAATTCCTCCCAGAAAAGACGTTTTTGATCATTAAAGATGATTTGGAGGCGCTAGCAGGTAATTTTCATGAGGAAACACGAGCTCTTACACCTAGAAAAAAAATTAATTTGAAAAAAAAACTTAAATTGAAGAAATAATAAAACATTCTTTTTCTGTGATTCGGAATCTGCATTGCTTTTTGAGGGTGGGGTGTCATTTTTATGTTTAAAATCGAATTTTCCATAATAATTTCTCAAATAGAAAATGTAGTATTTATAACAATAAAATTTTACCCTCTAAAATATAAAAAATCGATAACAATTCCCTTGATTGCTAGATTCCGCCCGAAAAACTCATTAACGTGTGCGTCCCCCTTTCCCCAGTTAATTGCACAGTGAAAGAACCGGCGCACCGTAAAAAATCGAAATCAGCAGCGGATACGGGTACATGGCCTCCAAAAATAAAGAAGCTCGGGCCGTACGGCCCAAAGGAGCGTCCTAAAACGGCAAATTTGGAGAGACCAAGTGTCCTGGATCCAAGCCTGGTGAACAAGCTCGACATGTCCTTGCTGAGTAAAGAAGTACTGAGTGATTCCATGACACAACTTCGTCATGGTCTGCAAAAGTTGGGTGGGGATCGTCATAGCACAGCAGACACGAAGACATTCCGTCAGAAGCGACGTAGCTTCGAGCACGTGCTGTTGGATCAACCGCTGGTGATGAGACGTCAGGTGTCACCCGACGTCCGACGCCTCGACGCCAACAACAACCGGAACAAAGTCACGTCATCCCTGTCAACGGTGAGAATGGTCAAGTCATCGAGACCAGCGGAGATCGAGGTCTTCACGGGTTTGGCAAAGACAACACCAGAGCCCTGCACTACGTGCGGTCGTCCTGATCAGCCTGAGCGCCTTCACAGCCATCCAAAGGGTGTCTTACCCACCAAGATAATCGCTAATTCTGGAAAGCCCAAGGAAATTACAAAAAAAACAACGCAAAAACCGGTAGCCCTGAATTTCCAGAGCGAAAAGACCAAATCCAAGTCGAAGGAACTCTCTCCTGCATCCTCCAAGGATTTGTCCTCTGAAAAAATCCGCGAATCCTCTGCCTCAATGAGAAAGGGCCCTAGAACAGTCACCTGTTACATCTGCGCGAGGGAATTCGGAACTGCTAGTTTTCCCATACACGAGCCCAAGTGCATGCAGGTAATCACTGAGACGAACAATTTATTTTATTATATGCAAGAAATCATCAGGAGCCTCGTACCAGCGATCATTCACGCTTTATTCAAAATATTCTGCATGTTCTTCATATTTCGTCAATAAAACAATATAAAATCATCAATTGTTATTTTGTCTCGGCTTGAGCGGTTGTGATTAGTGGGTTTAATCGTCTGGCAAATTGAATTGGTTCGTTTGTTTTTTTTCGTTTCGATGGAGACTAGTGAGTCATGTTCAAATGCTAACAATTACGCAATCAAATCGGATCTTATTAGGCATGAGGTGACTTCCCACGCGCTTACTATTAGACTCACCGATTGATGCGAGGGTGAATCATTCCGTGAAATTACCATTGTCTATTTAATTCCAGAATATTTCACCTTTTTTATCTAAATTTATGAACAATGCGGGGATAATCGAAGCCCAAATTGTGATTTCTGTAATTATAACTCAATACTTTTCTCGGTGATTCCCTATTTTTAATTTCCCGGCTGATCAACCCCTGGAATTAATTAGGAGACAGAATAATTTTTCGCCAAGAATTTGAGTGAAAGAATATCGAAGCGAATTGAAAATAAATCATAACGATAAAAATAAAAAACGTATTGTGATTGGTTTGTAGAAATGGGAGAGGGAAAATAGCTCTTTGCCACCTTCTCAAAAACGTTCACCACCTCAACGTCCGATTGTCCCCATTGATCACCAGGAGTGGAACACAGCTGCCTGGCAGTTATCTCAGGTATTTCAATGTTTATCCCCCCATTTTAGCATAATTATGTGCATAAACACACGGAAGTGCATATTCATTGTTTGTAATCGTGTAAGGGAGGTATGACCCACTTCACTCGCCCTCAAATTCCAGATATAACTTCTCCGTAAGTTAAAAAGCATTGCTCCACATAGCCCTTTGTCTTGGGTCTCTAGAACGCAGCCCTGAGAAATCCACATCGATTTCGATTATTACCCAATTATTTTTGCAGTAAATATTCAGTGATTCAGGGGCTATGAACGGACTCCACTATTTCTACTGAGCAAATGAATATTTTAAACGTCTTGGAAGATTTATTTTAAACAACCCTATGATAGAAGCCGAAGTAAAGGGTCAATATTGTCCTATTGTTCCCTGGAAAATTTTTCATAAATACCTCTGAATCTAAGAGAGATATCAAAATTTTTGATAAGCCCTTTCTTGTGGAGTTGAGTGCAAATGAAATCTGTTAATGATCTTGATTTCCGCAGAGGAGAAAAAAAATGATTGATGTGCGTGATGTGGGCCGAGTAATTTGTTCAATTATTCACGAGCAATAACGGACTGTTAAAGTTTAGACATTGACACAGTTTTTTTTTTGCACGATTGACCAGCTGACATATTGCCATATATTTGATGTCACATGATCGATATTAATGTGCAGTGTACCCTCCCTCCCTCTTGATAGCGAATAAAAGCGGACACACGATTCCGTCATAAAAAATTGAAGGGAAAGGGAAAGTCAAAGAAAGACAAGCAATGTCCGCTGATTGCTCGATGAATAATTGTGATTCAGATGTCCAATTCCAATTTATTTTTTCCACTTTCGATATATGAGGATATGACGGCAATACATTTCAAGGTGCACCGGTGTAAATACATGTGACATTTCGTGATGCATATAAATATAAATGGAGGTAATGGTGTACCACTCTGATGAGAATTCTTCATTTTCAGACGCAATTGGTGCCATGCTGGAAGTGCGGTAGAACTTTTTTGCCGGACCGATTGCCGGTGCACCAAAAAAGTTGCAAAGCACCAGCTAAGGTAATAAAAGTTTGAAAATTATTATGATTGAATTAATAGACGGAGGAGGGAAAAATATGGTTCATGAGTTGTTGCTGCTCTGGATTCGTTCCTCCATGGCCATTTTGATTAATAATTTGTAAAAATGGGGGTAAAAATTCGGGGTAATTATAATTGAATTTTCTGCTCTGTTATGTCTTTATTTCAGCAAAATTCAGCCTCGAGTAAATCGGATAGATCCGATCAATCGGGAAGTTCCAACGCTCGTGGCGTGTCGACTATTCAATGTGAAGTATGTGGACGGAATTTTGGCTCCACAAGTATTAAAATTCACGAGCCGCAGTGCTTGAGACGATGGCAGTCAGAAAATGAAGGAAAAAAAGAGCCCCCGAGGCGTCAGGAGTCGGGGGAAAAAGTTTCATCCTCCAATCCATTACAGGTAAATTTTTTTATTCATTCAATTCAGCTCTCATGAAAAATCCCCTAATCTGGAAAGCTCTCGAATTCAGCGCAAATTTCGAAGTATTCAATATCTTTATATTAAAAATTTATTAACAAATCAATTTTTCCGTTCTGTCCCAATCTCATGGAATTTTCAGTTTCTCCCGATTTTCAGTTATTTCCACAAACCAATAAAAATTATTAAAAATATCCTATTTTTTATGACAAACTCTCAATGAATTTTTACGTAACGTAAAATAGAGTTTCCAATTTTCCGTGAAAATTGAGATTTTTGTGTGGGAAAAAAATGTCTTCTGCTTAATAAAGAAATCGGGGGAATTTCAATTCCCAGTGTTGGAGGGAGAGATATTCGTGCAATTGCCGGGAACTATCGGAATTGGTGGGATTGTGGTGTCCGGATGACAATTACCCTCGAAATATTCAAACAATTCGGTTAAAAAGTTGAAAGCATTTAGCTGTGATGGGAAGCTGTAACAGAATCCTGATGGTGATGGAATGACGGGAGAAACTCGACACGTAAAACTTCGTTAGATCTTTCAGCTCGTTCTTCAGGGGTAAAAACTTCGCTGCGATATCCGCGGAAACTTGGGGGTCTGATTGTTTCATATCAGTTTTCCCGGAACATTTCTTGAAATTTATGGGGGGAAATGGGATACCGTGGAGGAAGTCACGACGAGGTAATTATAAGGATTCGAATCGTCTTAGCGATTGTTTTATCGTTAACTTCAATGAATTTTTATCCCTTCTCTTTCTCTTTTCCCCTTTTATCCTATCTCTTCCATGTGAAACTCGAAATTTGGTACGCCTATAATTTGGTAATATCCGGGAGACAAAATTCTCATGATTTGTCTCGCACAATTTATTCCACTGATGATAAGGCCCTTCTATTTCCCGCCGATTAATCACACTTTCGTCAAAAAAATTGCAGAAAAAAACGGTGACATGTTACATCTGCGGACGAGATTTTGGCTCTACAAGTATCGAAATACACGAGCCCCAGTGTTTGAAAAAATGGCACATGGAGAATGGGAAATTGCCACCGAATCAAAGACGTCAGGAGCCTCAGAAACCGGAAGTCGTTCTCAGCAGTACGTAAATGTGACTTTCAATCTGAAACCCACCAAAATATTAATATAAAAAAATTTGCATTTAAAAAAATTTTCCATTTTCAAGCCAATTTTTAACATTAATCAATAAATCAATCATCAATAAATAATAGTACACATAATTGAATCCCAAGTTTTACCGAGGAATTAATGGATTCTATTTCCTTGGATAGCTTTTTAATACGAATAATTCAAATAAATGAGTATTGGGTGAAATCATTTTTTTTCTCAGGGTAAAAATGTTGAAGGACTTTTTTGGGGGTGAAATCTGATTGAAAAGGTAACAATCGTGTGATTATCTGAAACATGCAGGGTTGTCCACTTGGTCATGTGTTGGACGAGGGTTCAGTAACCTTCTGGATCGATTTACCCGAAAGCGTGAACTAGTGAGGCCTGGGCGTATGATCAAGAAGTCGTAATGAAGCACTCGCGAGTTTACCCACACGGCATCCTGATGATGAATCACACCACGGCTTTTAAATTCAATTGCAACTCATGCATTCATTCTAATTTATTTACCACATACCGAAGCATCGAATAAATAAAACCCAGAAAATTTTTCATTAAAGGTATGATTCACTGTCAAATTGCAATAACAACCAAAAAAAAATGATGAATGAAAAATGAAATTGAACTGAATTGATTAAATTAACAAAATTGAGTTGATTTATTTGTACCATCTTTTTATTGGTCAGCGCGAGTTTAATGGATTTTTAAATCTCTGACGTGATAAAAAATTTAATAGGAAAATCAAGGAATGTCAGAAAGATCGCAGGGAGCTCTCCATGAAATTGAAATCGAGTTTTCCACCGGGTTAATGAGATTTATTCATACTTTTTTTTATGCGTGCATGCCCGTAGCGATAAAAAGTGGTTCATTGAAATCGGTGAAATAGCAGCAGGAGTTTCTCTCTGTACTGTACGGATTAATCTCCGAAATGATCCACGGAAGAGGATTTTGAGACTAATTACTCAGGGATGTGTATTTCCATTAGTGGACCCGGAGAGAAAAGAATTAATTGCAGGATAATTCACTGACGAAGAGATTTGATTAATGAAAGGGCAATTGTGCAGTATTTTGCGAGTACGCGACGCAATGAAACGCCTGAAAATTGATAAACAAATTGGCCAAGGTCACATGTACATTGTAAAATCGATGAATGCAGGTATTTGCATGTGTATCTCGTAAGCTCGCACGTGTTCTTCAGCCGCTACATATTCATTTAGCTTCCAATGCAGAGCTGGAACTGGTGAGGGTACAATTTTCCCAATTCAACATATTTCGAGACAATAGAGATGGTGTAATCTTGTTTGGGATCCTCTGTCTTCATTAACTGTCTTGTAACCACCCGTGGAGAGATCAAATACTGCGAGGGGACGGCACTACGTGAAGAACAAATTGATCGCTCATTTTATATTTATGCTCCGCTCATCGAAATAAATTTTTTATTTGCATTGTAAAAACGGGGAATATTTTAGATTTAATGTCTCCACTGATGTTTCAGTTCGGAATTAAATTTTTTACTGAAAAGTTAAAATTTTTTACCTGATAATTCGAATTTTTGATCGGGTAGTTTAAATTTTTGGTTGTGACAATTTTTTTTATACAAATTTCATAATTTTTATGAATAAGTCACAACTATTTTTATTTTTTATTGATAAATTTGTGATCCTTCAATTTTTTTATTTTAGGAGTGTAAATTTGAAAGATGGGGATGAATTGATATTCAAATTTATGTTCGTATTATTCTAGAAAAATCTGTTATCGATTTTTTAATTACAATGTCAACTTTGGAATTTATTCAGAAATATTTTACAATAGGAATTGTTTCTCCGATGAATTCACTCGGAGATTCATCGTCCCGATTTCCCCGGAGGCTGATAATTGCCATTTAAAATTCCCATGCCTTTACTGATTGTCTCACGAAAGTACGCGAGATATTTTTCAACCTCCTAAGATCGCTGAATATATTCTCAAAAATTCCAATCCTTTTCCAGTGAAGAATCCAGCAGCGAAATACTAATTCGATACAGAATCCAATTCTGCATTTTTACCAAAGATCCATTTATCTAGAAAACTATTAATGTTAGCAGCAATTATCAGAAGATTGTTTTTCTCAGAAATTCAATTAACTACAAAAAAGTTTTTTAACGTTTTCTCTGTAGATCAATAGTTGCCGAGATAAACCTCTTCACGAGTAAGAAATTAGTTGAGCTCGACTCAAGTTTCGATTTCCGTTGAGCATTCCGTGTTGAATTATTAAAAATTTCTCCGGCGATTCTTCTCAAACTTAATTTGTCAATGAGTAATTCCCCAGGTGAACCCGTTTATGTCTCCAGGTGCATCAACTCCTGGGAACCCGGTGGTAGACTGGACAGCGACGTCAGAAGCAAGATGGAGAAGTCACTTGGGACAATTGGTGGCGTGTAAAAACTGCAAAAGAACTTTCAACCCGGATCGTGTAGCGATCCACGAACGCACCTGCAAGTCTACACGTTAATCAATACCCTAGACAATTTCTTTGGTCCTCTGGGATCAAACGTCACACGTCTGGACGAAAAGAAGCATTAACTAAATAAATTTAAATCACTGGTGTTAATTTATCGAGTGACAGGTCAATAGGTGATTCTGACACATAACTTAATCCATTCACGGAGTCATTTTTATTCAGTGGATCATTAATATCAATTCCAAGGTACAAAAAATAATTCTCCTCAGTGTAAATGACAGTCCAAAACGTAGACTGGAGTTATCTGGGGGTCGATGTGTAATAATGGAAATGATTTGTGCTTTCACGAAAATATATATTTCTTTAGAAATCCTTTCGCTCATTATTTTTCATCGTCAGATTGTTATCTTTCAAATGAATTAATCCTAACAAGTGTGGGTGGGAATAATCTGTATTCGATATTAAATGAGAATTAAAGCTAGTAAAATATACATTTCAGTCGATAGAACCTGCACGTTAGAGATCACATTCCTGGAACATTGTTTGGTCCGTTGAATTATTAAACAAAAATCGATGGGGAGTGGCAATTTCAGTTGTGGTCAACTCAACGTTCCAGAATGCATATAGAAAACTGCAACTCAATTATTAAATGGAATATTTCAGAAAAAGGGTTAGATTTTGTGAAAATAAATTTGGTGAATCCGTGGATACTGGTAGTATTTCGATTTGAGAGAACACTTATTCACAAAATCATGTCTTTGTCTGAATTATCCCTTGAAGGTGCGCATCGTCATTCAAAAATGACTGACGTTAGCATGTCTGAATGTACATAGGACCGATCCAGCGTAGTTTCAAAGGGTTAAGGGTATTTACCAGAAATAAATAAACATTGACTCACTTAGGAATCTTATGGCGGAATGCCGGGGATATCCAGCTTGATATCCTGCCAGAGGCGTATAAATATCAAATATCAGCTATCTCTAATACTGCTAATTAGATCTACTTATTTCAGAGGTACATCATATCGCTTACACACTATCGAGGAATCCGTGTAAAGTGAAAATCTCGTTTGTTTCACTGTCTCAGGAAGTATGAAAAATATCGTTTATTAGGTCACGATGAGGTACGTGTAGATTCTTGACATTATTCAGAAGGAAAAATCTACCTAACTGTGAAGAAAATTTTGCTTCATTAATTTTCGGCTGGAATAGAACGGAAAAGTGTGAAAGATTTAACATTTCGGTTGATTTCACCGGAGCAATATAACACCATGTCGAAAATATCTGAAAAAAATTATCGGGTTTTTTATCTTGGAGAAATTTCGGTCAGTTTTTAAATGAAAATTCATGGAGAAAAGTTCTCTTCGCATTTTAGTGTTTTTGTTTTTACCTCCGAAGTCTCTTAATTCGTTAGAGAACTTCACTGTTGAAAATCCTTGGAACTCAATTGACTCAAGCGAGTAGGACATTAATTTGGACAATAGCTGTATTTTTCTAAGTTTTCAGTGGATTTATTTCTGAGTAACGAAATTTTGGGAGATACGAATAGCAATTTTCAACAGTGCAGTTCGCAATTAATCACAAATAAATCACTGGAAATGGAGTCTGAGGTAGATGTGACATATTCGAGGATGGATAAAGGTTTGAGTGCCTGGTATTGTCTCGGTGGATGAAGATAAATAGAGTAGGAATGACACCAGATCACGTGAAAAAAATAATAGTAAGCACTTTCCGCAGATACCTAGCAGTCCCCTGCGTCCCGTCGATTAATCACTTTTTTTCTGAACTCGTTATTAACGACATTGTATTGCAATATAACTTTGGCTGCTTGGTTGGGATATTTCTCGGCGCTCTTGAGGCTTTCGGTGTTGTTCAATAATACCGCTTCATCGGCTGCATGAGAATTTCCTTGCATGTTGCTCTCAACCCATCGCGGCGGCTGATTTCGCGATATCCGCGTGCTACCACCGCGTGTAGCTACCATGAAACTTGCGTGCGTTGTTGTACTATGCTGCTGCATAGTTGAACCGTCTCTGCAAATAATGCAGAGGGGACATTCTTTATTAACTATTTCCAAATGAATTTATTTCGAAATTTCAATTTTTGATATTACCTGTACCGAAATGCCGGACCTCGTCTCTTGGGCCATAAATGAAATGCTCCATATATAAGCGGATTTACCAGACTATTTGACATGCCGAAGAAGAATATTCCGTTCTGCAAATCCTCACTCAACTGCAAGCAATACACGTTTTTTGTACATGAGAGGTCGACGATAAATAAACATGTGTTCTTTGATATATTTTTCATGCACTTCAATCGGAATAGTACCATCTGCACTTTAACGAAAAGGAAGTTTTCTCTGTAGCGGGAGAAAATTCATAAAGACAAATCGATACGTAATAAAAGCTCGCCCAACTGTCGTATCTTATGATTTTGTGGGTAACAAACCGAAAGGATATTACGGGTTTAAAATTAAGTCGTGACCCACCCACATCGCGTGTGTTCCACATTCGTGAGGTAATTTTATGGAATTCGGATAATCGAATTATCTCGGAATTTGGAGTTTAAGACTGAATTTCTCGGAAAATGAGTTATATTCCAATTTTCTACATTGTGACTTTGAATCTGTTTTCAGAGGAAATTGTTCATTAAATTCTCTACTTTGAAATTCAAACCGATTGAGTTTTCGCGGAAGTAATGGCCACAAAAGCTTTAGAAATTCATTACAATTTTATGAAACTTGTATAAATTAAAAAATGATAATAATAATACATTAAAATTTAAATTCAAACATTCATATTTTTTTTATTCTTGTTCCGATTTACCCACACGTTTTTCCATAATGTAAATTTTGAATTAAATAGAAAAAATGTGAGTGCATTTGAGAATAAAGAAAAGGATTTACATGTTTATCAGGGTTGAGGAAGATGAATATGATCATCATGCAGTAGTAAGGCATCCACCAGATGATAAAGGCAGCAACAATAACAATACTAATCCTCAGAGATTTGCTTTTAGCTCGATGCATGAGCCTCCGTCTGTTGACATCGCCAGCGAGTTGATTTGTCGGGTTACTATGTACGTATCCCGTCTTAAAAGTTTTTCCACTTCCTAAAAATCGACTAGATCATCAGGTATTGTTGATTTTTCCGTTCCATGCAAATTCAAAACAATTTTTTCAAGCACTAGATGTACCATAGATGCAAATTTCAGCAGAATTACGGATTTCCGACACCGGAAATAATTTTTTAAATAGAATATCCAAAATATAAAAAACTAAATAAACGCGAGAGTCAATTTCAACGAGTTATTGAAAAAAATTAACATTTGCCTGATTTTATGGAAAAAAAATTGGAGTAGGTATCAGCACTGATTACCAAAAGAACAATTAGAAGAGAAAAAATGGCCAATCGTCACAAAGATCCAGTGCATCACGCCGAAACGTTTGCACTTGGGGTTTATTCAGTGTACATACGAGCAATTGTGATAACTGTCGACACGTAGGTAGAAATTAAGATCGTAAGAGGCAAGATAAACATGAAGATTAAGCTGAGAGTCGTGTATAGTTGTTCCTGCCACCGCTCGGTGTAAAATCCGTGAGTCACACATTGATTAAATTCTTCAATGAAAGGTCCGCGTGACACGTGAAAAATCACGGACTGAAACAGAATAATATATTACGATACAAGAGAAAAATAAGAACTATTTTGGCCTCCAAGTCTCTTTTTTTTCTCATTCTTTTCTCTTCGGATATTAGAAGTGTTAATTCCAAAAAAAATAATTTAACGAATAATAAAGTCGGAGAATTATTGTGAAACTTAATCTTTTCTTCCTGCCCCATTATATTTGGCCTGAGTGTTGTTCTGTTGATTGCTAATTTCTATTCCTCAGTACAACAGACTATCCCCTGTGCACAATCTAATTCCACCCACGAGGTTCGTTTCCTATTGATCCCCGGAATTGCTTTAACACGATAGAATTGATCCCTTTATTCATCTATTGTACCAGAGCGTACGTAAGAACCTACGTAAGTAGAACGTACTTGTACAAGTCAGGCATTACATTGAGCCATTTTATTTTCGATTTGAGTGAACGAGACTGGGTAGCTCCATTAAAAATTATATTGCATTTCCATTAATAATTATACTCAACATAAAGATTTTTATATTTAACGATATAAATTTTGTTGAGAGATGTTTACGGCTGGACAATATATACGTAAAGGGAGAGTGGCGGAAAAACTATTTTTCTGGTATTTATGTGAGGTGTCAGGTGTTTCAATCCCCAGAAAAAAAAGCCTGCGATTATTTTTCAAACCACGGCCTTCAGAGCAGTCAACGAAAGCTGTCAAAATTTAGTGTCCACCAGTCAGTCAGTGACACCCATAAATTAAGAAAATTCACAATTATCAATTTTCAAAATGTAACTTCCATAATTCGTCGGAGCCTATCGATCGTAAATCATCCCCGAAAATTTCTAGTCTTGCAAAAGTCCGTCGAGCCCGAAACAAACAATGATCAACACTCCTGGAAAATTCCTGCACTTGGTGGTATCAGCGATAAAGAACCTGCAGGAGCGAAAAGGTTCGAGTTGCCGAGCGATAGTAAATTACATCTCATCCCTGTGCGACATACCCCGAGATATCGCTCAACGTCAGGTGTTTGTCATTTAATAAAACAAGAATTCAACGAATATTCAGCGTCACGCTTTCCCTTGAAAAATAGATTCATTACACTGGGAAAGTGTTGAAATACGGTTGTGAAAAAAGGTTATAATTTATTTGTGAATACTTTAGGTTTTGACGGCCCTAAAACGGGGTACAACACATGGAATTTTGCGAGAGACAGATGGCCACTACTGTTTACCAACCAGTGGTTCCAGTGAGTGCCTCGAGATAGCTACCCAAGAGTTGGGATTATTGGATCTCACCTGCAGGAAGCGGAAACAAGAGGCGAGAAAGCGAAAGAGTATGAAGGGCTCCTGTGGTAGTGCAATGCGGAGGAAAAAATCGAGGAGCCGCAAAAGAAGGTCCTCCAGGAGCAAATCAAGAGGATGTGCCGGGAGCAGGGGACGAAGTCGAAAGAAAAGCAGGGGGCGAAGTCGAAAGAGGAGCAGAGGACGAGGTCGAAAGAGGAGCAAAAATAGAGCGAGGAAGAGTCGGAGCAAGTACAATTGTGCCACCATGAAGAGTCGGAGCAAAAAGAAAAAGAGAAAGAGCAAGAAGGACAAAAACTGCGCCTGTCCACCCAAGCCCGCTGCTCAGAACGATCATAAATGTGCCTTAAATTTTCCTGAGTAAAGTTATCATCGATCTGCGAAACCTACGATTTTTTTTTGTACTGTCCGATTTTTTCGGAAAGATTGCCTAGTTTTTATGCGAAAATTCGGGATTAAATTGAGGTGAAATTTATGGTCTGCCTCGTTTATTTTTCTATTCGCGCGTCTGACTATCGATTTCGTTAAACTGAAACCGGAGAGGAATGAATTTATTGATACTGCCGTGGGTGAAATCGAATAAATATTGAAAAATTCTGCAAACAGGAGTTGATCATTCTTTAATCCCTATTTGATTAATTAATCCATTACTCGCTGCTATACGATTCGTTCGTGTCAACAAGGGTTATCGATTTTTTATGGTCACCCGGTGGACCATTCGCCCTTTTAATCCATTCTGGGGTGAAAAATGCATATCGTGTGGTTTGAAAGGTATAAAATCTGTTATTGTTTTTAATCATGAAATTCAACTGGTTAATTTTATTAAACCAAAAAATAAGTAGAAAATTATTCAAGTTATACCATTTTATCTTCACACATAGATGCTCGGTTTAGAGACTTGATTAATTCATTTGGCACTCGCCATTATGATTGCATGTGCAATTAGCTCTCTCAATTTAGGGCATAGAATCCACTGTCTGACAGTCACAAACCTTGAACAATTAGTTCTCCAAAGAATTTCATGAACCATTCCCGAAAAAAATGACCAGTTCATGACGTAAGTGAATGCGATCGTCTGGAATGCCAAAAGTTGGATGGAATTTCTCCGGCGAGGGTAGAAACAGTCGATTAGAAACTTTTTCGACATATTGTTACTTGCGAGACTGCGGTCCCATCTTTTCCAGGAATTTAACTATAGAAGGAAGAAAAGAGTTTCCATGTTGTATCACAATGGGAAGTTTCATTCAGGCTGTGGGTGGATTATAGTCGATGAGTAATAAATTCAATGGTATAGATCACTAAGTTGTGAGGGAGGAATGAGACTTTGAAAGTTACGATTTAATATTGAGATGGCACGTGGAAACTTGTGATATCAATATCCACTGCGTTGTTGCTCGAGAAATTGCATTCAGCCTCAGAAAATTTTTATTCAATCTTTCCGCATATTTTATTCGTATCCAAAAACGCCTGCGATTTTTTGCGACAAAAAAAAAAATACAGAACAACTCAAGTCATCTGCAAATATTTTCTCGAAAGAAATCATGGCTTAAAGAACCTTTTCTATGTTGAATATTAGTTTTCTTGGGAAATTAACGCATAATGGGATTTGCATATTTCACATAATTCTGGTAAATTGCCAATTTTTTTGTCAATATCAAAATTAGAGTGGAATATGACAGTGTGATCTAGGGCTTGTTCTGTGATTCATGTAATGGCATTGTCTGTCCGTTGAATGGAGGAGTTATAATTTGAATACTAAATTCATCATCGACGTGTGCAGAAATTGAATGAACCTTGTGTTTGACATCCGAGTCTAGCCACTCGAGAACTCTGAACTCAATTACGCGAGTCTCGTATTATCTGTTGGAATCTGAGCGGGAAATTCAATAATAATGATGAATAAGTAGATGTGAGAAGGACAGCAGCAATCTGAGGACAAATTCATAGAATTTATCCGGCGGGGATGAATAATGGGTTTTTACATTGATTCCAGAATTCTCCAGAGTTCCCTATTAATGAAAATTAATGATAGGACTCTAGAAATTCGCGATTCCGTCACTTAGCTCCGAGGGCTTCCCCTAGTCAGAAAAAAATAATTGAACGAACCGAGAATATTCAATCGCGAAATTATTGGAACTGATAAAAATTTTTCAGCAGCTGATGAAAGATAATTGACGATTACTCGCGATATCGGTCTATAAAATTGCAGTTTATTCAAGATGGAGGGGTTAGATCAAAGGAAATCTTCGATGAAGAATTCCATTCCTCACCCGACACTCGGGAGGAAATTGCTATTTTGCTCTCGTTATACTTTCAGATTTCTGGTGTTATCTTCCGTTTGTAGTGAGTGCACCCTATGCATAAAATACGAGATTAATTTCTCCAAACGGAAATGAGGATTTCAATTTGGCTAGTAAGAAGAATTCGAGGTAATTTACAAGTTCGACTATCACACACTGAGGTAAAAAAATTATTTCTTCCAAATATTTATTCATACGAGGAAGAATATTCGACAAAAGTTTTTTCCACTGCTATTTATTTTGATATTTTTTTTTTGTGTGCAGAGTGGAAAGTGTCTCGAGAACTTTTACCGTTATTAAATAACTTTTTCCGTAAATTAGATATTAAATAACTTGACAAATAAGTTCGAACGAGTTTAAAGAGTTCTAACGAATATTCATGCATCTAATGAAGCCCACTGGTTCAATTTACATAGCGGGAAAAGTTGAAGTGGCGGAGGAAATTAATTTTGCTTGTCGATTTGACGACGAGGAGGACCTGGGGATATGATACCCTCCGGGATCTATTCCTCAATTTCAAATCTAATCCAAAATCATTTCAAATGGTCCGATAGACACTTCGACATGACGAGCTATTGCCATGGAAATCCTCGATCTCAAGGTGAACTAGAGATATGGAAATTGCGGTGGAGATTTAATACGATTAATCCGGGTGTTGAGTTGAAGGTGAATATCTGTATCGCAATCTGATGGATGAGACGAGCAGCAGATACTCTGACTTTCAAGTTAAATTATACTTTAATGGCATCTCATAGAGGTAAATCCACAAAACGACGTTTTGACGACATCAGAAGGTGTCGGTCACTTTTTGCTTACATCCGAGTTTGTGTTTTTCACGTGTGGAAAAAATAATTTAAAAGAAAAATTCCGTCTTTAAAGAAAATCAAATGCCCATTTTTCACATTTTTATTTTCTTCAATAAATCAAAGATAAAATAATAATTTTTAGTAACCAACAGAAAAACACGAACTGTCCATAATTTATTTTTGTACTTCTCGTTAAAACTCGGAAATGGGTTCAAATTCGGAATATGTGTTGAGCAATTATTTCTCATTACAAGGCCTTAGAAGGAATAATTATGTGGAATAGTCTTCATTAGAGCTTCAAGTATCTGCACTTGAACCATTTGAATTTTCTCAACGACAGGTCCTATCCAAATAGGAAATCGCATATTCAACCGAATTCAGACTGAAATATTATCCAACTTTCCTTTTACTCTGCCACGTCTCACAGTCGGAAAAATACGGTAGCTTTATTGCGTTCATCGAAGCGTAATAAATCAAATGGAGTGGAGAATGGGGAAGAGCTAGTTTACGGTGATAGTGTATTGATAATGCGAGCGACATGTATCAAGAGACTTTCTCATAAAAATCCCCTATTTATCACCTATCGGGAAACAGAAAATTTTTTTCTCCTCATCGACTGAAACCTATAGGCTATAAAAATAAATAAGAGAAAAAATTCTGTAATGCCAATACGTTTTATAATTCACGAAATTGAAAACCAATTTCCGGGGATTAAGCCGATGAAAACTGGTCATTTGGGAGAATAAAATGCTTTGATTGCATTCTTGAATGTTTCCAACCGGAGAAATTGAATACCGATGAAAGTCCATCTCTCGATACCAAAACATTCGACCCTAAAAATTCAGCAAGGATCGGACTTTGATAACAATACTTGTTTTCCTCACTAGTAGCAACCCAAAGTTCACGCATACCACGTTATAAATAATCTGAATACCATTCTAAGCCCCTCGAAAACTGGTTTCATGATGTCTCAAATCTGTTGATCGCTTCGCTACATTACAATTTCCCGGATTTGTCAAAACGAATAAACTCACTTGTGGGATGCTGAGGACGAAAGCAAGAATCCACATGGAGAGAACGAGTCGATTGCACCGTTGGGCTGTGTTGAGACTCTTCATAGGATAGCGAACAGCGATGAATCTGTCAACTCCAATGAGCACCAGGACAAAGGTGCTGAGATAGAGGCTGAACATCTGGAGAAACTTGAATAATTTACAAGGAACATTTCCCCAGGGCCAGTCAACAGTGTAGCTCCAGGTTGCATCACCAACGAGACAAAAGACCGACACAAATAGATCAGCTACAGACAAATGGAGTATCAGAGTGTACACAGCTGAACATCCATGATGCTTTCGACGATTTTTCGTTATGGACAAAATAGTAGCTGAATTAGCCATTAGACTGAACACACCCATGACACCTAGAACTATTGCCTTGATGTATGCACCATTGGTCAGTGTTGGTGCATGAGTCAGACAGACTGGATTGGTCATTGATTCGTCGGTTGGAATTGGTTGGCTTGTGTTATCACAGCCTAGTTCCAGCACTGCATCGCTTGATAAGTTGAGCAATTTTGTCTGTATGGAGCTCATGCTTGTACTTTCCTCGAGGGACGCATCATTTAGTACCCGTCACGTTCTCTCAATCCTTTCATTCGGTTGCTTCCAGGGATGGGAAGGACATCATCTCTCTGGTTCGACCTTCGCGGTGAGTTTTTCCTCTTGACTAACTATGAGATTCTCTTCTTATTGCCTCGATATCATTTCAAACTCCAATAATTCCTGTTGGGACAGAAAAGTTTAGAGATGATTCTTTCGCTCTGGGTATATCATAGATAATTACGGATTTGCAGAGATTTATATTTTTATTCGAAATTGATTTTCTCATTCAAAAATTTATTCCGGTCAGATAACGTGGTTATTCAATTGGTCGAAGACACTCTTCACTGATTATTTAATTCGACTTAATATTTATTGATGAGATTTTTTATCAGGAGGGATTACCAAATACTCTCTCACGAAAATTTCGTAGCAAGCTTAATCCGGGGGTAAAAAAATATGGAGGGTGTATTTTTTAAAATTTTAAATCAGTTTCTGGTGTTCAGCTCTTGATTTACTTGCAGATTAGTATTAAACTTTTTGAAAAATGGACTAGATTAATCTCGGGTTGTACTCCGTCTGAAACAATGTATGATTGATGTAAAAGGCGACCTCCGTCAAATACAAATTCCCACCGCGATATGAACAAAGCACTTCTGTTTCCACAGAAACATTCTCAACGATAAAAAAAAGTTTTCGTCCTACTCGACCGGTGGAGAAAGGATTTGTTGATGTCATTAAAGTGTTCGCCATTAATCGTAACTCGCGTCAGGTCTATTTTTCGCACACCTCTACCAAATCCTCATGGGCTCGTCATATTAATCAACTTCTTCGCTTCTCCAGAAAATATTGCAAGTCAGGGTGATCGCACTATAATATATTTTTTCTCGGATTTCCCGCGGTGCGGGTTCGTGAATTGCATTATAAAAATTTGATTTACGGTTTATCAGAAATTACGTTGACATTCTTCTCAATTAGAGAATCGATGGTAATAACTTATGATGGGAAACCGATCACTCCGATGTCTCTACCAATTAGCAATCGATTTTCTTGCGAAACTGAGAGCATTCCCTTCATCAGAAGAAGAAGGTTGCAAGAACAAGTATTGATACTGGGTCTAGCGTTATTCGACGCTCGTTAAGATCGATTATCACGAGAAAATTATTGTTCGTATACGTCATTGTCTAGACCAATATTCTTGGTCCATTCACCCATCGATTTTATAATTTTTCAATTGTCCGCAATTACTCCAAGAATAGGCAGCTATTATTGACGCACCAAATTATCAATACGAACACGTGTTTATATTTGTTTTCCTCGAGACTCAGCGTAAACTTAAATCATCCCCACATGATCCATCGAATCAATTGAAATTCAGCTGTAATTCCATATTTATGTGTTCTCATTTATTTTTTTGACGATCGCGGGTCGCCAAACTTCTCATCGAATTCATAAATAATTTAAACATAAAATTTTGAAGAAAAATAGAGTCTCCGGCCTATCGTGCGCGTCGACTCGGAGATGATCGAATTTTTATTCAGGACTCATGTTAAAAATTCTTGAATATCTTATCCAAACAATCCTCAACCCGCGGCTATTTTTTTTTGTTTTGATGATTTCCCTGGGAACTCCGGAGAAAATAATATTTTTTTTATAAATTTTTTCACGAGAAAGAAATTTTTTTTTCGTTGTCAAAGGTAAATTGTAATTTTTCCAGTAGCAGCATTAGAATTCAAAGAATTTCTCTTTGGTTCTGTTATTTCGACTTTTCATCATCTCTGGGAGTATAAATATACTGTATACTGCAGTGAATCTTCATCAACCTGTGGTCATACCTGAGAGAAATTAGAAATAACCCGCACTACATAAAATACACAGTCTGCTGTTCAACTGAATCATATAATTAATGAAATCCTTTTGCAAAGTGGAGAACTCATACATTTCCCTGGAAACATAATAGAAGAGAGTCTTGCTCGATTGTCATGCGTGATTTAAATATTGTCCCGGAACAATGGACAAGAAAATTCTTTGTAGAACTCGGAAATAATGAAGTGCAGTGAATTTAGCACGGAATGCTCATTCCATTCATAGTCGAGCATTAAAATATATCAATCCAATCACTCGTTAATGGGTAGAAAAAAATTCGTCGAGAGAAGTGACGGTTCCGCGGGAAAAATATGTAACATGAACGATGTTGAATCAGTATTTTATTTAATGATTTTCCTGATATTGATGATTATTGAAAATTTATTGAGTCATAAATTGTGCGAATTTTGAGCTGTTGAATTTTTCTCATTGAAATTTAATCGGGATCGCCTGGAAATGACTCAGGGGTAATATGATATTTGAAGAAATATTTTATTACTGCTTTCAAGTAAATGGATCGCATCACTTCCGATCGAAAATACTGTTATCCACAAGAATTTTCAAAATCTAGAATAAATTTAGTTCTCTTGTTTCTGAAAAAAAATCAGAGTCAAGATATCATTTATTTTACCGAAATTAAAAAATGCAATTGAGCGCGAAAAAATTGACAAGTGACAGATAAATAAATGGCATGACAATTGAGAAAGGTCCCGTTCATTTTTCCGTACGAGTCCTCAAAAGAATAATTCTCAACAGATGATGGTAAAATTAATTATTTATTTACATTTATCCAGCAATCTGTACCTTCTGCATCGAAGCCATCGACTTTCGCTCCCACGATTGATCCTTCTGGTATTCAAAATTGTCAGGTGCAAGGACTCCAGAGTAATCCAACCCCAAATTCTTCAAACCCATAATTCCCGATTGCTCAATTAAAGCACAAGAAATTCGCATTCATTCACAATTTCTTTCACTCCCACCAAAGCCACGAGAGTTGTTTAAATGTTAATCGCCTACCTGATTCTGATTATCTCCTAAAGAAACCCTTTGAAATGGGTATTAGATTAAACTTTACGATTTCTCTTTGATACGAATAGAAAAATTCAACATTTATGATAATTTCTCTAATGTTACGAGTAGTCGTTGGCTTTCGATAAGCTCGGGAAAATGCTCATCGAATTATCGTTACCTCCGAGGGATATCATGATTGCATAAAAGAAAGCTCAACTTTTCTTTTACATAAACGACTGATCAAACTGCAAATAACATAACTGCTAACCGATTTACGGCTTTATTTTATTTACTCATTCATCTTCATTGGAATCGATTGGAATTAATTTCTGCGTTTAATAGGCATTGCATTTTTTACGCCACTGAGATGCTCGTTGAATAATTCTTCAATCATTGAGATTCGCTGGTTAGTTGGGCTTTAGTCGACACTAGGTATAGATAATACACAGTAATTACTGAATTATTGGGATAGAGTGGATGAAGTTGACGGTTCGCGTGTACCGCGCAGACTAGGGATAGAGTCCACACGAATGAATGTTGAACCGCAGTTGCGCCTCGTACCTCAACTCCTTCCACTATTTTATTTTTTTCCCTGCATCTTTCCCCTTCGCGCATATTCTATTCTGCTAAAATATATATTTTAGACTCTCACTTCATTCACTCTGTATATTTTATACTCAATTCAAGTATATAGGTTGTAAATTGTTCCCTCACACCTGCGAGAATACTTTGGTAAACCTATTTTTATTTTTTAAACAATTAAATGAAATGGCTGTTTTTATTAAATTAGATTTAAAACAATCAGAGATGTCGTTGAAGGAGGAAAGTAATTGATTAAAATGTTGAGATCGTGAAATGAAAAATTAATGAGGAAAATAGTTCTGAGGAATTTATTGAATTCGGTCAAGTGAAATACAGAAGCAATTCTGTACAGATTGGATGTTTACAATGAGAAGTAAGTCAGTGATACCCATCAGCATTTTCTAGGGAATACATTCCCATGGTGTTATCAAATACTAAAAAAATATGAGGCGATAGCCTCGAAGAACTAAATACTTGCGAGTCTGTTGTCTCTCGACTAGAAACTTGATGAAACTTATTATCAGCGTTCATTTGACACCTTCCGTATCGCGATGAACTTATTCGATTCCAAATTCTTGGAATACAATAAAAACATCAAAATTATTTTTATTCACACTTTGATCTGAAATAGTGCGTAGTACGACGATAAATCAATTTAAAATCATACAATTATCGATAATGTGCAACTGGGTTCATTGGAAATTCAAATCAGAGTGTAATTCAATGTAATTTGAATAAATGAATGGAAAGGAGAGAATCTTATTGTAAATGTTTCCACGTGGCATATTATGAATAATGACGATTGCAATATTTTTTGACAGCTTGGAATTAGTTCAAGCCTATCTGAAGCCTATCAGAACGGTTCGCGTGATCAGGTAAGATCTGATCAGAACCTGACAAAATTTTCTTCCAAGATTTCGGATCCTCGCTGGTTTATTTGCGCAGAACGTGCCTTATTACTGTTATCAATCCCGCGAGTTGAAGCTCTGACCGGATTCTCCAGTTGAATTCAGTTTCTCGGATTGAATTCAGGTTTCTATAGGCTCCCATCATCATATCGGAGAATGGAGAGTATGTGGACCATTTTGATGTTGAGCCTCTCCAAAGCACCTGGGCAAGGTTCTCCGTGTGATTTCTATAAATAACGGAAAACAATTTGGGTGGAATCCAAGGCAAAAGCCCACAAGAGGTAGAGCTTTCACCGTTTTCCCTCTTTCATGGCAACCTGAAAATACCATGTGCTTTATTCAAACCCGCAAATGTCACTTTTCTTACAGGTTAAAAAAAAGTGCTGACTTTCATGAAAAATTACAGGCAAGTCAATGTAGGGAAAAATAATTTCTCAGATTTCCAATTCTCGTGACAATTGAATTGAAGGGTCGGAAAATTGAGAAAAGAATAGCCGGAGATAAAATTCGGTGAGAATTATCAGAAAAAAATGTAAACGCTTAAATCTATTTCTCAAATTATATTTTTTTTCCTTGAAAATCATTCGACCCGTATTTTTCACGCTTTTTTATTCGTTAACCTCTCAGTGGAAGCTTTTGTTATATTTATATTTCGAGGCCAAAACCTGCAAGATTGAAAAAAAAATGGAATAGTACGTAAAGAACTCGAATTTTCTTGGTATTCACCCTTAATCACTCTTCTAGGGTTGTTTGATTTGAAAAGTTTGATGATTGGAGGAGATTTGCAGAGTTAATAGTGCTTGTCATGGTATCAAGTAGATTTGCACGTTTTTCTTTCTGTTTCAAAGTTGAAAGAATTAAAGTCTGCTATTTTCGCGTGACTACTGACGCATGAGCTTTCGGCAACCGAAAATAAATACTGGCGATCCCATTTGTTTCGGTGCTGGAATTAATTTCCGGGGGTGAGAGTGATGTGACAGTTTTCACTAAAACCATTCGCTCATTGCTTTAGAAAGATATGGAAAAATGCCAGAGTCCAATTAATTTTAACACTAATTTTCTATAAATTCAAAGGAATAAATTCTGTACACTTATTGCGGAAAGTTGAATATATGTACAGGGTTTACTGTTACTCTAGATAACGAAGATTGTTGATAGTGGATTCATTCGGGTTGAAATTTGTGTTGAAATGCTACAAGTTTGTCCAACCCATATCAGAATGTTATTCATCACTCCGAAGTTGAGCGTAAGTTCTTCCGAAACGAGGAAACTTTGCATTTCGCGAATTGCATTACCCGACCCGAGTAAAATGGACATAAATGAAGTTTATAGTCACACGATACCTATCGCATTTTCGTTTGACGGCCATTCGCAAATTTCGGAAATTGAGTAATTCGAAATACTCAATAGTCATTGGCTAGTCACACTGAAGATTCCAATTAAAACACAAATTGTTAACATCAACTGTTCATTCACAAATCATTGACGAATCACTTAATTTCTAAAATAATCCGGTAATTATGACTGCCTCCATTATCCCTGAGAAACCGAATTAAATATAAAATTTAATAATTTTTTTTTTAATTGACATTGAGTTCCGATTCAGATGATTTAGTGATTGAAATTTCAAATAATTTCTTATATTGTGGATAACCATCGCCCATTCAGGAAGACAGCGAGATGATCACCTGCGGAAAAGCTTGAAGCTCTAGAGTAGGTGTTGGTAAGACAGATGCTGATTAGACCGACAACCGTCGGTTTTTCCGTGTGCTTTCATTACAGATCACTGGCAACGGAGACTTCTGGGGACGGTATTTCCACGAAATTCATCTACCAATTTCTCATCGGTTCCTTCGATCCCCTTAAGGTATCACCACATGTGCCATCGGTAGGTGTCAACCTCTGTCAACAACTAGACGAAGTGACAGACGCGCCAATCCATATCTCAATATCCAGAACAATCAGATAATAAACCCCGCGGTGAATAATAGCGTCATTCTTTTCTGCAATGCGATATCATCTGTGACACCTGTATGATGAGTGTCCTGTTTCAGGTTGAATCACAAAAGCTAGCTGCTCTATGTATTCAAGATTCAGTTGTTTATCAGTGAGCACCAAATGCAGGCCCCACAGGAGTATCACTAGTACATGATTTCATATCATCTTCCTGACACCACAGATCTGTGTCATCATCGATGCTATGAAAATCAAATCAATCACACTTATTTTTCCCTCCACTACCTGAAATTCAATCCTATCGTGTACCAATTGATAACGTTGACAGTCCACTCCATCTTTCTCATTTCAATAACTAATTAAGTTCATGAATTTTTCTTCAAGTATAAATTTGAAAGCATGAAAGTGAAAAAATCGAGTCGATTCAGACAGAGAAATCGGCGAGACACTGAACTATATAGCAGATCCTCATCTGGTCACTTGTAAATTATGCAAATGGATCCACCCCTGCTGATGCAATTATCCGAGCAAAAATGGATAACAGCATTGCAGTAATTGGCACTGAAGACAACAACCGTCACCCAGTGGAAAACATTGTCCGTCGAGTCCCGACGAAATGAAACACTCACTCGCATCATCGCATGAACACAAAAGTAGTTGAATTACAATATATTCAATGAGGGAAATTGCATACGTTTATCGGCGCCCAGGTACGTGTGTTATGGTTAATTCGATTGCCTTTGTGCCAATTGGTAATGCGATCGTTTAATACGGGTTCTAATGCAAATAAACGCGCTATCGTCACTTCTCGGAGAGGATGAGCTTCCCCCATTTACATGTAGCACCTATATAGGTGGGTTTAGACATGTATCGCAGTCATTGCGGCTGCACACGAATTTAATGTGAGTACTGAAGGTGTTGGCGTAATTGCATGGCAATGGATACGAACGTTGGACTTTGCTATCTACTGGGGCGTTACATCTCCTTACACACGCGTCTTACCAAATTTATGTAAATACCCGAGAATGTACCCTCTTTCTCATCTTGGGGTGCTCTGGTGCTTATATTTAATTAAAGTGGGATATAGAATGCGGGAGAAACTCGAATAACAGAGGAAACTGGTTGTTCGATGGAAGATATAACCAAAGGTAACATGCACTGAATTAGTTCACTATTAAGGTACTTTCGCCAATTTGAGGGGCGGATAATCTCAAAAGAACGGAGAAATTCTTCTTGATAAAATAATCTCAAAGGATTGGAGAAATTCTTCTTTTTTTAAAAAAATTTCAACAAATTCAAAGGAACTCCGTGCCCGCCAAGAAAAAAAAAAAACAATAAAGAAAAAATAAATAAAATGAAAAATTTCCAAAATGGGTACCAAAATTTTAATTCAATTAACTGCAAACGTGGGGAAAGAAAAAAAAAAAAATTCCAATCCATACTAATTTCCAAAATAAGGACGCGACCCGAAGATTCACGACTTTTTAATTGGATTTCGCGATAGTCTCCGGGTAATTAAATTCCGCGTTAAGACCGACAACAGTCTTTCATTATCCTCATTGGTGGATCCGACGTTTGAGGGATCTGGAAAGTGGCCCTCAAGCCGGTACGAGTTTGAAGAAAGTCAACGAGTTGCTGACAACCGGAGAGTGACGGCCCGTCGGAATGATAAAAGCCCAATGGCCATTGAAACTGGTACATATACGCGGAAAAACGTCGCTTTGGATATTTAAATCCATCGACTGTGGGAACGACGGGGTGGAAACTGAAAAGTTTCTCGATGGCTTTGCACGATACCACGAGTATGAGGGAAACACTCAATGCACCCAAACGAAAAGCAACAGAATTGTCGAAGCGTAACGTGTACTCTGTATGTCAGATTTTTTTAGCCAATTCTTTTGCCTCATTTTTTCCATAGAAGAGGATGTAGCACTAGGAAACGCGCAGAAAGGGGCGGAGTGGCCCGCGCCCGGAGATAGGGTGGGTGTGTCTGCCTGTGGGGATATACTGAAGAGAGATAGAAGAAGAAAATAAAAGTGTAAAGCAAGTTTT